GGTTAGAGAACAATTTTCAGGATTTGGTTATCCGTCCACCCTATGTGAGTCCCATGGATCAAAATGAAGTTGTCAGAACTGGCAACAAGCACCTTTGCCTGCTGAAACATCTCACTGGCCTGGGAACTCGCTATGCAGCTAAGGATATTCTTTCACTTTTGACCCTCCTGCCTCTGCCTCTTCAATCCTGATATTATAAATCACATACCACCATGACTGGTTTATGTGGTGCTAGAGATCAAACCCAGGGTCTTATGCATTCTAGACAAGCACTCTAACAGCTGTTATCTGCTCAGCAAATTAGTGTGTGCACTACTCTTGCATAGGACCTCAGTTTGATTCCCAGCACCCACGCTGGGTGGCTCACAATCACCTATAACTCTAGCTCCAGGGAAATCTGATATCACTGGCCTCTGGGACACTAGCTGTGCATACCCATGGAAACCCACACAATAGAAATAATTAAAAGCAGGGGCTGGAGAGATGGCTTAGAAGTTAAGAGCACTGACTGCTCTTCCAGAGGTCCTGAGTTCAATTCCCAGCAACCACATGGTGGCTCACAACCACCTATCATGAGATCTGGTGCCCTCTTCTGGCGTATAGGCAAACATGCAGACAGAACACTGTATATGTAATAAAAATAAGTAAATAAATGTTTAAAAAAAAGAATGTCAGAAAAAATATTTAAAAAAAGAAATAATTAAAAGGTGATATGAACCTTTAATCCCAGAACTTAGGAGGCAGAGGCAGGAAGATCTCCGTGAATTTGAATCCACCGTGGTCTACAGAGTGAATTTCAGGTCAGCCAGGGCCACATAGTGAGACTTTGTCAAAAATAATAAATAAATCTAAAAACTTTTTCTTAATTCTTTGGGACAGGCTCTAAAAAATTAAAATGATTTGATGGTACCAAAGGAAAATTCTCATATTATGTCATCTTTCCTTTAAAGTTTTGAAGATCACACATGAAATTACTTAGGTATTATTTATCAAAATATTTTTAGGATTTCCTTTAATTTTCATTCAATGGGTTCAAGTATCTATAAGAACATTTTCCTGGCAGCTTCCAAAGCCACGGAGAAACCCTGTCTCGAAAAACCAAAAAAAAAAAAAAACAAAAACAAGTTTCAGATAATATTGCTTTATCACCCTGACACAAATTATAATTTTCTTGTTAAGCACACTGTCTCAAAAATAATCCAAGAGTGGAGTGGAACTGGGCAGGGGTGCCCTTAATCCCCACAGTCAGATCTGAGTTTAAGGACAGCCTGGTCTACAGTGAGTTCCGAGACATCCAGGGCTACACAGAGAAACCTCTCATACAAACAAAAACATAAATAAATAAATAAATAAATAAATAAATAAATAAATA